TTATTTATCTCTTATATATATTTAACTCTTAAATTATATAAAACAGACATTATTTCCCCTAAAAAACTACCACAAAACAGATGTTTACTCTCGTGTTTATTAAATGTTTATTTTTTGGCAAAAAAACATAAAGGATTCGGACCTTAATATCAATATTGTTGATGAAAAAGGAAAGGAAAGTATTGATTGAATTTAAAAGAAATTTGAGTGAATGGACCTGAAAAGGGACGGCCGATAATATACTATATGATAGAGAAAGAGAGAGTTTTCTCGTAAACTCAAAATTTATTTCAATATTTTGTTGTGAAGAAAGAAAGAAAGAAAGAAAGAGAGAGAGAGAGAGAGAGAGAGAGATAAAGAGAGAGCGAGAGAGAGAGATGGGATGAAATGAGATTTGATGGGATGGTTAGGCTGTAAGGCAATGACACGATCGGCATTTCAAATAGATTTCCGGACGTTTCATCTTCCTTACCCATTGAACCATAAGGTCAGTGCCCCTCATATACTCCCCTATCAGACCCTATCCTATGAGTTATCAAAGTATATACAAACTTCTCAAACACTGTCTTAGATTGAAAAACTTGCTTCAGTTTGTTGTGTGTTTAGTGGCCGACAAAGTTCACTGGCCCTACATTGCCAGCTCAGGTATATTGTCTTAGAGGTTGTTCACCAACACAACACTCATGACACTGCCCTTGAAATCAACATTAAGTTACTTAACATTTTTCACTATTACTTAATACCAAAATTGATTACCAGATATACAGTGTTTTCTTATATTTTTTATGCTCACAAATATTTTTAAAATTTATTTCACTCTCAAATGTATTTATTTCAACAAAACAAAAATATATTTAAATATATTTAATACAATTGTAAATAATAAAAAATAATTATAATAATTAATTAAATTAAAGTTAACTATTTTAAGATAACTTCCTAACAAAAACAACTCAGTTATTGTTGTCATAAAATATCACTTTACTCAATGACAATACACTTCTCTGTCATTGAAGATCACTGTTTTCAATGATTTGCGAGACATATGGAGACATACCTTAGTCGAGATGTCATTTGGAAATAGTTGTTAAAAACATGTATTGATATATAGATAGGTTTTCCCGACAAATACGTTAAAGTAAATATGTTGACCACTAATACCATGAAATAAATACGTGTAAAGTCAAAGATTGAGAGACATGTCAGATGAAAATAAACGCAAAAAACAAGTCTAACAATAAAAATTGAGAGTATTTTTGCTTAAGTAAAGTCTTGTCATTTATGTGTGGTGTGGTGTGTGAGGTATAATGGGGTGCAGCTGTTATTTTTTTAGCACAAATAATAGCCAGTGGCCACACTTTCACGTTTTATTATTGACTATACAACCTATTCTCTACCTTTCCTTCCTTTTTTATATTACAATAGTTATGTCCCCTTAAAAGCTCATTGAAAAGTGAAATTATTTTTTATAAAAAGGTTAAGATTGAGAGAGAGAGAGAGAGAGAGAGAGAGAGAGAGAGAGAGAGAGAGAGAGAGAGAGTTGTAAACACTTACTCTTTTATTACCTGCAATTCATTTATCAATATATTTTATATTGTAGTGATTCACTAATTTTACTAACAATTTCACTGGAAATGTGTTTTAAAAATAGTAACTTTTAAGACAAACTTTTTTTGTTTTGTTTTGTTTGGTACCCTAAATATAAGTGTAAATACAATAAAAAAATTCAGTATTTGGCTCTCACTTTCAATGGGTTTCTGAAATTTTTCAAATATATTTTAAAAACAGTTTAAAACCGCTATATGTCTAGAATTTTGATTAATACTTTTTAAAAATATTTCTTTCTTTAAAAAAACCTATTAATAATCAATTGAAAAATAGTTTTTTTGAATAAAAAATGAATTAAGTTTATGAAAAAGCATTCAAAACGGTACACACAATGTAAACAATATATGCGCCAAACTTATTGAGAGATGAGAGTGAAATTTGCTTTCAATATATTGTATATCAATATAAATATATTATTGAATAGTAAGACTATTTGATGTATATTTGCTTCCGTACTCTCCCATAACAGTCCCAACAAAAATGCATTTTTAGTCGATTTTTGACGGAATTACTGCTTCAGACACAACATAACAATCCTATTGATTTCACCCAAACTTTCTCCTCTTTTTATTCATATTTACAGTTAAATTCCTGTATCGGTTTGTGTTGTACGCGTGCAGCACGTGTTGGCCACCAGTGCTGTCAATAAGTATATTGAGGGGAAAGTGTGTATGTATTGGATGCTATTGCCAGCTGTCAGACTCTCACTCTTATTATAGATTGTGGCAAACAATGTGCTGTTTTCCGGGTTTGTCAATAAAATATAGCAAAATATATACAAAAAAAAWATATATATATGTCTTGAGTCACTCATTTAGATTATTCACCCGTTTTTTGTTGGCCATTCATTTGGCCATTCATTGGTCACTTTAGTGGTTCAACTGGTTTTTGTTTATCTCTGTCTGAATGTATTTTTTGCAGTCATTTGAATAATAGCCAACAAACTCAATGCCTCTATTCACTCAATAATATATAGGTATATACTGTATATAATTTATATGTATATATCTAACAACAACTTTATCTAACACAAGCTTTTTTAAAACTCATGTCATTGTAATTGTGTTACAGATATAGCAATGTTTTTGTGAATATGTTTTTTGGGGTTTTCGTACTTTCAGATGCATTGTTTAGTCTCAATCGTTCATTGAATCGTTGGGGTTAACTAACAGTGCATTTACCTAACACACACACACACACACACACACACATACATACATATACTGAATGTTTGCACAATCCTCTATTGCCGGTGCCATAACCAGCTGCCAACTCTTGTAATCGACTCTTTGGCTCACTTATTGGTCGTATATATACTTTAAAATTTGTATAATATCTTAAGTATCTATATATATATTTATGAAAATAACATATACTCCACGTCTTTAACAACCAGAAGCTAACAATTCAATATATATAAAGGCGTTTCACACGATTTGCTTTCTTTACATATGTATAATACACAGTCAATAATACATACATAACAATCCCATAATACCCGGACAATACACTTATACATGTGTCCACTCTCTGGACATATATCTCACTTTCTTTTTGGTTCAGACTTGGCTTTACATAACACACTATTATTGACTGTAAAATAACATTTCAATTTCAATTGTTATTGTACTTTAAAAATAAGAGAGAAAGTATTGTCACCTAATGTTAACTTATTTTTGGTTAAATTTATTGCTAACAACTTGTATTTTACACGTCAACTGAAATAATATATCAAAATAAATTACTTTTAAAAAGGGATACATACATACTGTACATAAAACTAACAAGAGTTAGGATTAACAAAAAATTGTGGGTTATTGTAACAAAAATGTTTGTCACATATATTTTTAGGTATTTTCTAGTATTCAATTCTCAATAGTATTGATTGAGACAGTAGGCTAACTAACGCACGTAAGTATACAATAATATTTAAATATTCAATTAGCAATAAATATATTAAATACATAGTATTAATCTTATGTTTGCCTAAACTGTCAATCGATTAATTTATTGGTATTTAGTATTAAGTAATTCTTCATAAAAACAGTTTGTCTACAATTATTAATAAAAATGTTTCGTCAAGAATATCAAATAAATGTATTCATAAAGTATATATGATATATATATTATGAAAATATTTGAGATGAATGAGAGTGTATAGAGAAGTATAAGTGTTGTTGTTGTTGTTGATGTCTATGCAGTCAATAACCTTTAAACTTWTGGCAAACTTTAGTTCAAACTTTCGCTTACATATAATAAACATTTAGTGGTTGTCGACGACAACGACCGACACTGCAATTGAAGCGGTAATAGCTTGGGCTCAGAGAGAGAGAGAGAGAGAGAGAGAGAGAGAGAGAGAGAGAGAGAGAGAGAGAGAGAGAGAGAGAGAGAGCGAGAGAGAGAGAGAGAGAGAGAGAGCTAGAGAGAGACAAAGAGCCCATGAACTTAGCAGTCAGTGCTTTGGCAAATACATATAGATATGCTGTATATACTGTATGTTTATATGTGTATATATGATATGTAAGTGTTGTTATGTTTGGCATAAACGCCACCCAAAGCCGGCTCTGATTCGATGGTACGGCGCTGTCGTTAGGATGACGCCCTCCGAGCTCTGGTCTCATAACAGGCCTGTCGGACCACTTTCGCTGTTATTTGCAACCTTGAAACTGATTAAACGCATCCAAACATTTCAAACAAATTCATACCAGTGCTCCAAACTTGTGAGGCTAGACCTAACACATTCAGTTGCTCTGATCCATCAGTTTACTATACCAATAGTTTTTAAGTATTTGAATGTATAAATGTGTGGTGAAAAGTTTTAGACCAAACATTTTCTAAACTAACTTTTTATTTCATATAAAATATTATATTTGTTTTAAAATAATTATTATATTATGAATTCATTGATGAATTCTATTGTGAATTATAAAATATATTAATTTGAAATATTCTGTGAAATTTGTGTGATTTTCATGTTATATTGATTACATAAACTTGATATTCACAATGATTTTAAGCGAAAAAGATTTAAAAGTTTTGAGTTCATTACCTCAAAGTGATATCGATAGCGACAGAAAGGATGACTTGAAAATTGGTAAGAAATTTGACTAAAAAACATTTAATTGCATTTGATTTTGTGGTCAAATGGCTAATCATATCAATCTTTTCATACTTTGGGTCTATCCTTAATACATGTCATTATATTAGGGATTAAATAATAGTTTTGTTTGATAATCAATTGTTTTAATGATTGTCTCTCAAAGACATTGATTACAACCAAATATTTTACTGACAGTTTGCGAACTAATGTTTACATCAAATAATTTAACTAAAAAAATAGTTGTCATTATTTTAATTTTTTAAATTAATTTTATATTTAATTTTAATTACAGAATTTGATGGGACAACAGTCCTATGCCGAGTATGTGGTGACAAAGCGAGTGGTTTTCATTATGGTGTTCACTCATGTGAGGGCTGTAAGGTATGTAACTTTGGACATATATTTAATCTTTTTTTAAAAAATTGCCTCAAAAATACTGGACATTTGTTTTTATTTTATAATTGTAATACAATTTTTAAACTAATTATTGCAAATACTGGACGTTTAACAACCCTAACTATCATTGATTCACATATTGCCCTTGAAATGCCTTTAGTTCAATGACCTTATATTTACACCCAAATTGCATAATACCTGCGCACTGGCTACCAGTGCCAACCATTAAAATATATCTTACACTACTAGTATATAGCGAGTGCATCGCTCCCTCACCCATATATAGATATACCTGTACTTTAAACACAAACATATATACATATATCTATATATATGGGATATACATAAGAGTTCATTAGCCTTACTGTGCAAATGGTGTGTTGTATGTGTAGTATAGTTGTTCCCCCCTATCCTATCCTATCATATATAATATGCACACAACTCGAAATACATTTTCCAATATTATATATAATATAAAACTACTACATCCTAATCGTTTAGCCTTTCCTTATAGCACACAAAGGCATAGTAGTAGAGTCCCTAACCCCTACCAAGGACTGCACCGGCTGTTTACTTAACCAAATGTTCACTTGTTCTCATAGACCCTATGCTCCTGAATACCGGTCCCTCAATTGGTCCTCAATTTCTTTCCGCTATATATTTTTCTAACTTTTATATACATATATATCAAACTTTTCCCTCTTTTGGAGTCCTCTTAAAGGCATTTATTACTACTTCTTTTAGTTTGTATTGCTTTAAGACCCAAACAATCTCCTAACCTAACTATACGTACAGTACATCAGCCCATTCCCCACATCCCATATCCTTTGAAAAGGACACCCTTTGCTTGACACCAAAGAAGTGGGGTTTTCTCAATGCATATAAACTCCACTATAATCGGTGCATATATTGTGTATGTAATATATAATTCACCGAAAGTGGTCTTACAGTCGACAATAACACGATTTTCAAGTTCAGGGTTAACAGCACTCGCACTTAGATATAACCAACTTTGCATGTCTTTGTGTAGTTCAACGAACTCCCTGTGCTAGCCTTGAACTCAACTCTTTGGACGACAAACTTAGTGAACAAAACAGCAAAAATATATATCGATATAATAAATAAAGCGATTAAATGTATTTAATGTTTAAAAACATTGATTAATATAAAAATTTACACCAATTATACCCAAATGATTGCACTGACACTTGAAATACAGTACTTAACACTAAACATATCATCCCTTAAAATATATATAAGATTAACATTAATATGAATGTCTTGTTTGCATTTATAGGGTTTCTTTAGACGGAGTATTCAACAAAAGATACAATACAGGCCGTGTACCAAAAACCAACAGTGCTCTATACTCAGAATCAATAGAAATAGATGCCAATACTGTCGGCTCAAAAAATGTATTGCCGTCGGCATGTCTAGAGATGGTAAGTCAACGACAAAAAAATCCAACTGTCCATTCAATGAACATCAGTAGTAGTGTAGTAGTAGTACATTACATGTATTATATAAAAATACTTTTTTAGAAAGTAGGCATTTGGTGCACATATACTTTATTTTGGTTGGTATGTCAGTCAATGTGTGTCACCACATGTCTCAACACTGCTATTATAGCATAACATTGCATAAGTGATAGCACAAGCAGATCATCGAAGTGTGCGTTGGTTGCGATGGATGTGTGCGTAGGCTGTGCTGATGCTTACGGTGTTGTGTATCGGTTGTGTAATACTTATACAGTAGACTCTGATATAGATTTTTATATATATATAAATATATGTATATATGTATGTATGTATGTGGGGACAGTCATGTATGTCGTTCCCCATTTAGTCCGAAGTGTTTACGTGTGTGATCGGAGTGTTGTTTATTGAGACTTTCATACCTAACCTTGAAATACAAGCCCTCCTATTGCAAGGTCTCGATTGTTCCGTATATTTCACTTTCACTAAAACATTAGTCGTATAGATATAGTTAACCAACAGATTTATATATACAGTATATATTCAAACAATTTACATATATATTAATATATAATTATAATAAAAGTTTTCTAATTGAATAGTTAGTCTTAAATCTAATAATATAACTACTATTTCCTAAAATACTGCTTATTGTTAACATCAGATATCTTAAACCATTATGTGTTTTGATATAACGGTTGACAACACGGCTTGAAATTGTCATTTTATTTGATAAAATGTATAACTTTCAACAAATTGGTGAGTGTTGTCTACACCACTAATGACCCCATCCTCCCAACCGACCAAACATTTTATCATTTATATAGTCATCAATATATATACAAATTGTTGACTTTCACTCATTATAATTAATCACAATTTATTGCTTATGTAATGTTTGACTACTACTGATGTCAATCGATGATTAAGACATTTTTCAGTTATAAATCATTAGCTAATGTCATGTCTTTTAATTTTGATTTGATGGGCAACAGCTGTGAGGTTCGGTCGGGTCCCGAAACGGGAAAAGGCAAAGATATTGGCGGCAATGCAAAAGGTCAACGCTTGCAGTCAACAGAAAGCTTTGTGTCTGGAGTTGGAGGACGAGAATCGTCTCTTACAGACCATCATCAGAGCACATGAAGAAACTTGTGATTACACCAGAGATAAGGTCACTCAGCTCATAGAGAGGGCCACTACTCAACCCGTCTACGCTCACTGTCCGCCACAAATGGTAAGTCATATTAAATATATTTCTAAATATTCTTATAATTCCTATAAATTCTCAACAAAAACCTTGGCCTCAAAATTAGTCGATAATAATAATAATAATAATAAAATGTTAAGAATATAGTTGAATATTTTTTTAATGTATATTTAATATGATTATTATTTTGTTAACATAATATTTATAATTATTTAGATATTTAATATTAGATATTATCGATTATAATGTGATGTCTATCACATAATTGGTAATAAAAGGCATGTGATTATCATATATTTTGTACTCATTAATAGAAAGAAATAGTTATAGGAATATATCGTATATATGAATATAAAAATGACAAATGAATTCACTTTAAACGGTTGCCATATAATATACATATACATAGTCTATGACCATGACATATATATATTTATATTTATATATATGTATATATGTATGTTTAACATTTATAATTATATATATATAAATATATATATATTTATCGTATATACATTTCATGAGATACATGTAAGTGTTTTTGCAATATTAGCTTCAATGTCAGGGTCACACACATGGAGAGATGTTAGCATACAGTATGCATACTATATAGCATAGCATTGTATAGTTTGCTAGTTATTACACATACGTATTAATAATAAAATTTGTCTCAAATTATTTGTATTTTATATTATTATATATTTAGTGATTAACAATTTAATTAAATCCTTGACCCAATCGATATATCCGTTTAATAATGGATAAGGAATTTATGATTAACTAATTTCAAACATGTCGTAGAAATATTAAGTTAACAATAATTTTAAAGATAAAACACTTTTCTATGTTAGTAATGGTATTTCATTAGTAATGTGCACTTTTTGTGATAACAATTTTATTGTATCATTTAAGAAGACAGTTATACTTTTTTGTACTACTATAACGATTTTTAATATTGATAATTATAAGTCCAGTTGTTATTGGGAAATGTATAGCTCAACAAAATATAAAAAATAATGAAAGATATTATTCATATGATTCTCAGGTGACAACTAATTTGAAGGTCGGATCTAATTTTAAGGTCAATATTGTTGATAAGCTATACGAGTGAAGGTTAGATTCAGTGAAATAAAGTCAGTAGTATTTGAAAATAATGATGAGTCCACTAATTTAAACCTATCTTTACTAATCATTTCAAGGACTAATCATTTGGACAATTGAGGAAAAATTGACAATTTTTTCCTTTAAAACTTTTATATATATTTTTCAAAGTTTTATCGTAATTTCATTTTATTATGTTTTTGCTAAAAATATCTATTTTTACATTTTGTTGCTTAAACACAAAAAATTAACTTTTCTGATAAACAAGTATATATATATATATATAATATATTCCGTATTAATTATAGTACAGTAGGTTATTTTGATTGAATTTACTATCTTGGAAAATAATGTATAAACAAATTAATTTAATGATAAACAACTAGTATATTGTTATTATATAGGTATACTATATATAAATAGTTTCATTAAATTTTATTAGTATAATAATACTGCCATCAAGTGTTGCAATTGTTGACATTTTTAAAGATCTATTTGGTATATACTGTATATATAATATGACATTTCAACAAATGTCTATTCTTAATATTAAATATTAACACAACTACCTGTCCTTCACAGCGCAACAAAATATGTCTAAAATACTTTAGTGTCTAAAATCGATAGTTATTGAATATACCAGTTTTGAGAGGTTTGCGGCAGTGAATTATTGTATTACAAAATAATTATATACAGTATATATTAATAAAATTATTCCCACACACTTTTATTGTATAAATTTAAATATTTAATTGAATACACAAATAAATAAAAGATTAAAATACAAATTTAAATATCTATATATCTATACATTGATAGGCCTGTCCATTGAATCCATCGCCACAACATGTCATTGACAACGGCGGCACAAATCGTATACTCGAAGATTTCAGCGAAAGATTTTCGCCAGCAATCAGAGGTGTTGTCGAGTTTGCCAAACGTATACCCGGTTTTGGTATGTTATCTCAGGACGACCAGGTGACACTACTCAAGGTATGTCTATCTCATTCAAATAGGTCATCAGATGTTTATGTCTAATAATTATGTTTTTGTTAGGCGGGTGTGTTTGAAGTACTACTGGTGCGATTGGCCTGTATGTTTGACTCACACTCTAACTCAATGATATGTTTGAATGGTCTGGTTCTGAGACGTGAGGCCCTACACGCCGCCAGTAACGCCCGGTTCCTATTGGACTCAATGTTTGATTTTGCCGAACGACTAAACTCTTTGCGTCTAACAGACCAAGAAATCGGACTTTTCTGTGCCGTTGTTGTTATTGCCGGCGGTAAGCATTTCAATATAATCTTATAATTTGCTATATTTTGCACAAAAAAAACGAAATCACATTTTTAAAAAGCATTTTATAACCACTGCTTATATTATATATGCATTGATTTCAAGGTTACCATACATTTCCTTCTCTATAGTACACAGTATTTGATGGTTTCCTTGAATTTTTATAATAACATTTAGTTATATTAAAACACTACTCTTTAGACACTATTTTATGTCTGAATATTTTTTTAATACAAACTGATGAATATTTTTAGACATCCCTTTAATTTAACAATTTTCTATTTTAATATACATTTTTATTAATGTATTTTTATGTTTGCCAACTATTACCCACTTTCTATATTGTGTGCCATTATACAGTATATCAGAAAACTGTCTGTACATACAAAGCATAGGAAGGAAGGGTAGGGATAGTCTGGTATTTACACTGTATGTCTACTTTTGGTCGTAAGGATAGACCAGTACTAGTGTTATTTGACACAAGCGTTGAATAGTTAATAAACTTATTTGTATAGTTACCTGAAGTATGTTTTTTCAAAAAAAAGTTGAGATCATTATACGAGTGTGAGGTGGGGGCAGAGTATGTATGACTGTTTGGTTGGGTCATTGTAGGTCAGGGTCACTCCAATGGTCGACTAACATTCCTCTCACAATACAATTGTGGCACAGCTCCCAACTTACACTTATATATATATATATATATATATATAGTATTCTTTGAATTTATTATTGATTGAATCACAAGATATTTAAATGTATGAATATATAAAATTTAGTTTTGTAAATACATTTAAATAGTAATAGTAATTGGACGGCTTTAAAGTTAGCAATTAATTAATATGCTTTCTTAATGGCCTCCCAAGTGGTGTCAGCTCATCCCTGACCTCAATAGGCAGTACTCTCCCTCTCTAATAGACTCTTGAAAAGTATATACCTTTTTAAAAAATAAATGGCCGTAAATATAACACTAAAAAACAACAACAACTGAGAAGTGAAATTTGTTAGCCTTATTTCCACCGACTCTGACCTACTTTCATGACTCCCTCAGCTCTCCCTCTCCACTCCCGCAAAGATGTACTCTCGCTTTGGACTCACTTTTCATTTTTCGTTTAGACATAGCATTGAAAAATTTTTGTGTAAATTATTTTCTGTTAAAAAACCATTTATATATTGTTTGGTAGCAATTGTTTGGTTTGATAGCTCAAAATAGCTAACATATTAGGCCTAACATTGGCTGTATTGGCGATTCCCTGACCTACTTGTAGTCTAGGAGATGCTTATGTCATTGAACGGTACGATTGCTCTCTCTGTTAGACCTTAGCCTTGAATATTGCTGTCAATACTTACTATACATACATACATACACACAATGCATACATGCAATGTGTGTATCAAAAGCTTTTTTCTAACCGACACCAGTATTGAAAAGACAGAGCTTGCAAACAGTCGTTTTTAGCTAACTTTCCACAGAAATCTATTTTTGTTAATTATTTTTATGTGCCTTTTTCTCTCTGATCATCGATTTGATGACAACTTTATTTAAAGTGATTATAAAGTGCTTTTACTATATAGTGAGTGTGCAGTACTGTGCACTACTACTTAGCCAATTACCTGTACACCTGTGCAACACTTTGTTATATAGTTAGACATATATAACTGCAAAGTTTTTTCTGTGTTAAATATATGAAAGTGTTTGTCTAATTAAGTGATTAATTTTTGTGATTGACTGACTGTATAGATCGTCCCGGTTTGCGAAACACCGATTTGGTACACAAAATAAACAGAAAACTTGATGATGTCCTACAAAAAGCTATCTCAGCTGCACATCCAGAAAATCCCAATTTATTTAACGAACTGAAGAAAAAGATACCCGACTTGAGGACACTTAATACACTTCACTCGGAAAAATTGTTGGCATATAAAATGGAGCCGAGAAATGGCCAGAATGAACATAATGGCGAAAGTCAAACAATCGGTTGTAACTATTCAAACCTGTTTCCAGACCAGTGGACACAATTGGCAATGATTGGCGCCGGACATCCGGTCAAACATTTGGACGATGAAGCCAGTAGTGCTTCACCGGCTCAGACCAGTCATCACGACTGGAGTGGTTCCGACTCGAAGGACGGACACGAGGGATCATTCGGTAGTCCGCGATCTGTAAGCAGCAATGGATTGTCGTCCGATGACGGTATCATTAGATCCAATTCAATATCGAGTGCCAATAAGTCCAGTTATGAGCCCGGACTCTATCAGTCCCGACTACAAACACCGTATCAACTCAATCGGTGCCCGAAGATGGCCAGCACTCCATTATCATCGCAAAATGATTTATCTCATGATAATAACGGGAACTCCGATGAATGCTATTATCGTATCGGTAGTCCATTGAAAAATGCATTGACGGCCAACATGGGAGCCATGGGTTCCTTAGGGAACGGTAGTGCCAATTATAGCAAAATACGACGCGTCGATTCACCCACCGATTCGGGTATTGAGTCGGGTAAAGAACACTGCAATGGAAGTACTCCTACGACATCCGTGTGCTCTAGTCCTCGGTCGGCAATGGATGATAAGGTCAAGGATGTTAGCGACTCGGAGTCCAATGAAAAACATGAGACGATCGATGACATGCCAATGTTGAAGCGGGCACTACAGGCACCACCATTGGTAAACACCAATAAGCTTATGGATGAGGCCTATCGTCACCATAAGAAGTTCCGGGCTGCAGCCAGAAAGGACGAACAGCCACATAGTCCTTCAACTACGAGTACCACTTATTCGGGTCAATCAATTCATGAACCATTGACTACTTCTCACAGCACTTTACTGAAGACATTGGAACAGCCGTCGAGATATTTGAATGAACAACAGTTGAAGAGAACTGATTTGATTCATAATATTATTATGCGAACAGAGGCCGCGTCGACCACAACCCCAACCAATTGGAAACCTATGCGACACTCGGACATGACGTCCAACGGACAAAATGGACATTTAGCACACAGTCTGACTAACGGAAGCTATATGTATCATAACGTTCCTCACAATTCAAACAATATATCAAATGGTTTCCAAACAACTTCACCAGTCGTTCAATCGAAAGGTGTCTGTCCTCCCGGTCTCTACATTCCAACGGGTGGTTATCCGGCGAACTCATGTCCCTATTCTTCTGCACAAAACACATCAACAAATGCGAGAACAGCTAAATCAATGTCATTATCGGCACAGCAGTCATCCAGAATTGTTTACTCGACATCATTAGAGGTCCAGAATCACCACAATAATGCTTACGTACAACACACTCGACGATCTCCATGTCCTTCGACAACATCGCCAGCAGCACTAGTCATCGGCTCAGCGCCGTCACCATCACATGCGTCGACCACTCCTCATATTGCCAGAGCCTGTGCTTCGGACTCATCAATAGCTGCAATACTTGTCTCACAGAGCGCCGACTGTACAGACTCTCAGCCACTAAATCTATCGAAGAAGCCGTCGCCACCAAACTCTCCCACCGCTAACGCCATCAAAATTGAATCATAATTTTCATAAAACAAAAACTTCTTCAGTGGCTTTACATTTCAAAAATTGGATTCAATTCAATACATAAATTTCAAAATACAAATCAAAGCTTTCCATCAATTTCTTGCGATTCACAAGTTTTGATGGTCTGCTCTAAAAACATTGATTAATATTATATAATCGCAATAATAATTATTATTATTGAAACCATAGCATCACATACTATATACATACGAGTCTTATAAGATTCGTGTTTCCATAAAATTCATATTTCAAAAAAACACTTATCTCTGTATATATGAAACAAAATTCAATTTTCAAAACAAAGATTCAATTATAATAATAATTATATCTCTAATTAGATGTCTTATGAATACCCTATAAGTTAAATGAATAGACAGTTATTTTTCATTGTTAGAAGTTTTTTATGTAATTGTATTGTATATGAAAATTAATATATTTATTAATTATTAGTCACTTGTGGTTAATGTTTCCCTTTATTATATTATTTCAATTGTTCCCCCATTTCACAAAAAAACTCATTATTGATGGTCTTTAAAAAAAATATTTGTTTTAATTTATTGAAATAAATATTTGGTTTATTTATTATTTATATAAATATTTAATAATTATATATTGTATATTATATAAATATATATTTACCACTATTGGAAATAGTGGTTCAATTTTATAGACACATTATAAGATTCAAATCTAAAAGCATTAAAATGTTTTGATTGTGAATCATATGGCAATTAAATTGTAAAAATTTCATTACAAAAATCAGATTTAAATTTATCAATAAATATTGGATAATATAAAAACATTAATCATATAATGAGCCAATACTGTTGTAAAGGGATGTCAGGGTTTTAATTACAAGATTACAATAAGAGTTTGGTTTTTTGAGTTTATATTTAAATAAAAAAAGCTCTCATTATTTCACTGTATATTAGAGGTTAGGTTTGGGAAAAGAGATGTAATTTTATTGGAAAAACAATTTTATTGTATTGATATAAATTTCTGAATCATTTTTATTATCAATAATTTTTATTTGGTTATTATATCTCTAAACACTATACAAATATTTGAATATAATCGGTGAAAATATGTTGAGACGATATGTTTTAATTGTTTATTGGTTTGTTTGAATGACAAAGTTTTTTGTCAAATAATGTTGAAATTGATTTAAAGTTTGCAACAGAGATTGAAAAAGTTTGAAATTTTGTTTGGTGTCTAATTAGATATTTATACTGAAAATAATTTACATTACAATATAATGGTTGACAATCAGATTTTACACCTAATATGTATAATACATTTAAAGCATTACATTATTATCCCAAATATAAAATACAACAACAAACCATTATATTGTAATTAATTTATATAGAAATTATTATTATTAAAAAAACAATTATTGTAAAATTATAAATCTTTTATTTGTAAAAACGCAAATATTTATAAGTAAAGCCATTTTATTTGGTTTTATAAACAAAATATAATTTAATATAATATTTATAAAATAAAAATGACAATATAAACAATAATTTGTTTTTGTTTTATTTTATTATTATTGATTAATTAAACAGTGTTTTGAATGATAAGATTTATTTAAAATTATAAAATAAATGGGCTCTAAATGAGTTGTGATTCACTTATTTATAATTATACAGTAAAACAATTATATTTAAAATAAAAGCCATTGTATGTCAAAAATAACATAATTTGTAGAATTTGTGACAATTTATTACTTTAAACAAAATATGAAAATAAAATTATTTATAATTTAATATTTCGTTACTTTTATTTAATTAAAAATATATTCAAATATCAGAATATTAAATAAATACTAAATTAATTATATCAAATACATCAACAGTTATCAAATGTTTATTAAAATAATTCATAACTAATTTGATATATTAATACTAAAGTATACTATATTTACATTAAAAATAATCATAATTTGATTACTATTTATTATGTAAAGTATACTAAAAGATGTTATAATTTAATGAAATATTTGTAAAGCCATCGACTGGTGAATGAAACCATTAAACTAGTCATAGCTTTCACTTGATTTTAGATGTTTTAGTCAAACGAAGGACAACAACATTTGACTCTTAACGACGAGTTTAGTGAACTATACATACAATTGAATGAACTATTGATGACTTCTTAAGAGATTTTGTTGCTCTCAAACACATATCATATGAACTGAACTTTTGTTGCGATAACCGGAAAATTATTTACTATTATAACTATATTATGATATGAACTGCACTTAAATAACACATTTTCTATAGTTTTCTCGTTTTTTCTCTTAAAGTCCATTCAATTATTTGTTTATAAAAATTTTTTAATATGAATTTTATTTCTAGTATTATGCCATAAATTCACTAATTTAAAAATAAGTATAATTAAAAAAAATTAATTTATTAGAAATGAGTATTGATAAACTTTGTTTTTCATAAATTTTATTTATTTATTTATTACTAATTAGTATTTACTATTTAAACTGTTTGTTTTATTTTGTAAATTATTGTTTTTTATAGATATTACATTACTACTTAAAAGCTATCATTTTTAATAATTAACAGTTTTATTTGAATTAAAGTGTAATTATTATAAGTTATATATTTTTATATATAGATACTTTGTTATATATAATTTTAAAAATAAATTTTATATATATTATACGCTATACACTATAATAGTGTACTAAATCTTATCAATTGAAAGTTTTAATATCAGAAAAATCAACGACAATCTCACGAACTATAAGTTCAATAAACTTTAATATTAATTTTTATACTAAATATTTTTTAAATAAAACCATTTTTTTAATAGTTTTACATAATATTCTTTATACGTGTATTTTATTCAAAAGTCACAAAAACATTATTTTTATTCATAAAATTTTAATGATAATTATACATTAGTATTATTTTTAAAAAAAAAACCATCTCCTCTAATATCTATTACAATATTTTGAAACTATTATTTATTTATTTTTATTTTATACATTTTTCATAATAATAATTGATAAATCATATGTTAATTTAAATAGTTAATAATAATGAACGATTAATTATAAGAAATAATAATAAATCAATGATTAAACTCCATTGTATTTACTAATAAATTTAAAACGCATATTAAATATGATTATTAAAATTAATTATTATTACATTTTACACAAATAATTTTTTGTATAATGTAAATAAATAGTGACACACCTAATTCAATAAAAATTAAGATATTTACTTATGTCTAATAATGTTTTATATTTAAACAATTATTAATTATAAACAGTATTTTTTAAATGAGAAAACCAAGCTTAACCTAATTTTATTAAATAAATTTATATTAATTTAGTCGCTTTTTTATTAAAAAATTTCAACATTAGTTATCTTTATTTCAGTTCAGTGACTGATAAATATAGTCAATATTATAGTGACTTATTTTATTTGAATACACTTTCTATTAAAAAAAAAATTTCTTTTATTGTATTTCTATAAAGTCTATAAAATACTACAGTATATTATTTATGTATATAAACAAATCTAAACAAATAATTATTTAAATGATAAGAACAAAACTATATAATAATATATGAAATGTATATAATTATTAACATTTATCTAATTAAACTAATTGCATATTCATTGAGGAAGTCCTTCGGGCAAACAATAAGTGATGACATTATCACACATCCAGTGGGGGCACAATTAGTACAACAGTTGATGGGGTGGCCAATGATATAGCTATAGGTGTTGACTGTGGGTCCGTCAGGTTTTCATTTTGAGATCCATTAACCTCATTAACAACTCATTCAGGACCTCCATTGCAAACCTCATTACGATTTTGTTGAGCTAAACGAAAGCTTAGGCAACAAAAAAAAGTGCTAAACATTTGTCATGACTTCCCATAGAGTTGTCTTCAGTTTTGTAAAACACTTTTGACTTTCCGAGTCTTTGTATTAGTCAAGTCAATAGATTTTTTACAATAGTCTATAAATGTTTGTAACAATTGTGTTGTAAATTTAGCAAAATTGCTAAAATATGCGCTAAAAAAGTTTACTGATTGTAATGAAAAACCCGTGAAACTAGTTTATTGAGATATAACTTATTATTATTATTATTACTGTTTAGTCCACTTAATACAAACATTGAAAGCATACCAATTGTGTGTTATTTAAATTGTATGTGCTTTCAATAAAATTAATAAAATTCAATTTAATATCAATAAACATTTGGGAATTAAGTTATGAATATTAGGATATTTCCACTGATTTTACTATTAAGCATATTATTTGGTAAGTTTGATTTGATTTCATTATATAAAATACTAATTAAATATTAAATTATATTAAATATATTTATTTATGTAATTTTTAAATATTAAGATTATTGTATAAATAAATTTACAGGTTAAATTAGTTTATAATAATTAAACTAAATTTAAATAATTATATTTTATATTTAAATGACTCAAAAAACTTATTTGTTAGCTATTATTTTTATTTATTAAATTATAATAATTAATTTAATGATTTAAAAAAATAAAAATGCATTTATAAACGATGAATTTGTGTGGAAATCAGTTAAATTTTGTTTTAAACTTCAATACAATAAAATATGATTATTATTAGTATGATTGTTATTATTAGTTAAAGTAAATCAAAGTCAAGGTAAATAGACCAAGGTAATAATGATAGTGTATATATTTGATAAGTATAATATTATATACAAGGTTATCAATAAATTATTTTTAGTTTTAATTATTAGTAATATATAAGTGATATTAGCACATTTAAATAAAAATAAATTGTTTACACAATTAATACTATAATATATGAAAAATTAGTCAGACATGCGAAGCCTTGAGTGTGCAAAATGTTAAGTGATTTTCATTGAAGATGTGATGTGTTAGTGGGTCAGAGTCAGCACAGTTAGCTATAACATACAGGTTCTCGTTCTTCCACTGAGTTTAGCACCCAATCTACTGTTTAATAAGAAATGATACTATTTGTGTTGAGCTTTTTTGATTTTATTTATTTAAAATTAGTTAATTTATTTAGTAAAATGCTAATTAGTATTTTTTTCAATAATAGCTTATGTGTGTCAATGCATATAATTACTAAACAATACACTAATTATTTTAAATATCAATAACATTTAAAATACAATTAAATATTCTGTTGAAATTTTTTTCTCAATTATACATACAGTATATAAGATTACAGTACAATACTATATGATTATACAGCATTTAATTGCATTTAATTTTATACAATAAATTAATATAAAAGTTTATTATTAATTTTTAAAAAATTAATGCAAAATTTATAAATAATGGTATAAAAGCAACATCTAAACAACAGGGACGGAGACCACCACCAGTATCAGCACAATCGCAGTCAACTCAACAAAATGCTGGTAATAGACGAGGAGGACAACCGTCAGCCACTCCGAGTTTGTCGAGAGGAGGACCACAGTCTCCACCGTCCAGTATTGATGACGAAGATGAAGAACTTGATTCAGACGGAAACAAAAACTTTGTCTGTCCTAAAGCCGACGGTCTGTTTTCAGATCCCAACAGTTGTCGAAAGTTTATGCTGTGCGGCTCATGGAGGCCGTGGTCACAAACGTGTCCACCCAGTCTCTACTTTGACGGCAAACTCAAGTTCTGTACATTTAAGACACCACAGCTTATATGTGGAGACGTGAGTGAAGAGGAGACTAAAAGAGAGGAACAGGAGAGAAATCAGGACAAACTTCCCACTTGTGATCCAAACCAATGCCAACTTCCCAACTGTTTTTGTTCTGAAGAGGGAACTTCTATTCCTGGTATTGATATTTCAATATTTTTCAAATAAATTGGTCCATAATTTCTAACGACAACATTATAACAGGCAATTTGGCACCCAATGAAACGCCACAATTTGTTTTAATCAATTTTAGCGGTGCTCTCAATGAATTGGTGTTTGAACACTACAAAAAAGTAATGGGATATTCATCTAAATTCTCCTCAAATCAAAATAGGTTATCAATATAAACATAAAATAAGTTTTATTATTATTTTATTGTTATTAAATGATTTCAATTTTGTTTTAATAATAAGTTTTGTTTTGTTTTCAAAAATAATATCTCTTAAGACATAATCCAAACGGTTGTGGGATTAGAGCCACATTCTTCCTAAATCATGAATATACTAATTATGCACAAATTCAATGGTTGGCCGCACAGGGACATGAAATTGCTATGCACTCCATAACGTATGATATTAATGAATATATTTTAAAAAATATATTTAGAGTTTTTTAAATTATACTTTTAGTCAACCTATGGAAACAATTTCTAATTAAATTTTTTTTTTAAAAAATACAGACACCGTTTGCCAGAAGTTTGGTGGACAGACACTGCAAACTATAGCGATTGGGCCGAAGAGATGATCGGTATTAGAGAAATTATTTTAGCCAACTCTGGCGGGTCGTCGTCCAACTCGGCAATCACTCGCGAAAAATTGATAGGAATGAGAGCACCATATTTTAAGCCCGGTTTGTATTATCAAAATAAGATAATCTTTTTTTTTAGGAGTTGTTTGCAAAAAAAGTTAATAATTTGATTGTCAACCAAAAGGTGGAGACGCCATGTTTGAGATGGCCAGCGATTTCGGTCTTCTATATGATTCAAGTGTTGTGGCCCCCCGGGGCACACCTCCATATTGGCCATTCACATGGGATTATCGACAACCGTTTGATTGTTCTAACAATAAGAAAGAAACCGAAGAGAAGAAGGCGGTCGATGGCGAAGACATTCTCGGTTCGCGTTCTCAGAGTAGAGGCCGACAAAAGAGAAGTACTAAAGAAGAGATGTCAAAGAATCGCAAAAAGTTATCGATTGGCGAATACAAGAAGTCTTTCGAGAAGATTCAAAAGACACCAAAACAAAGAGTTCGCCGCAATTCGCCGTTTTTGGGTCGACCGCTCAAATGTGCGACCAAACCATATCCCGGGCTCTGGGAGATACCTATTAACCCGCTATGGAATGAATACAATACCTGCCATCACGCGGATCAGTGCGTCTTTCCTCACGCCACTGATGACGATGATATTGAAGATATTGTCAACTTTTTGAAAGACAACTTTGAACGACATTACGGCACAAATCGGGCGCCGTTTCAATTGAATTTTCACGTGACTTGGTTTACACAAAAGTAAATAAATTTCAATATTAATACAGACATCAAATCTACTAATTTTAAACATATTTTTAGGGGTCATATCAAAGCATTGAACAGATTTATGGACTATTTGTTGACATTGAAAGACGTTTGGTTTGTAACATATCAGCAATTGGTTGAATGGATGCGCGAACCGAAACGACTTTCCGAATTGAACTATAAGTGCGAGAACGCGACGGCCACGACCTGTACCCGACCTCACACTTGTGTTGTTAAGCATTATCTGGCCAGTGATGGATACACCGCAGCCTCTGAAGACAACTTTAGCAAAAGTGATACCCGTTATATGCCGGTGTGTCACTCGAGTATATGTCCGCAACAATTCCAATGGTTCGGTAACCACGCCGGCAAAAAACACAACTACAAGACAATTATGCAATTAGTCGACGACGCCGTCTCTACGGATAACACCAATTAGATGTAATACCCGTTCTCCTATTTTTTTGGACATTTAATAACAGATTTTTATTATTAATAAATACTACCAAATATTTTATATATCGTACACTTTTGTTGCTAAAGTTATGACCAGTTGACACAAAAATTGCATTTTTATAAATAATTATGTAATATATATTTTATCACATTTTGTACATCTGTTTTGTTATTGATTGATGAATACATCTGTACCATTAGTATTAGTATTATTATTATTAATATTAAAATTTCTTAATTTTTTCAATTTATACTAATGTCTTAAATTTTATTTTATTATTATGCAAATGTCATATTTATTTACAAAAATATTGTAATTATTTTATTGAAAATAATGTTTTGTTAGATAAATGCTATTAACAGCTCCATAATCTCTAATTATTGAACTATTGATTTATTAAGTGAAAGCATAGAAAAATTAAGATTTAGTTAATTTTAATAATTGATGATTTGTACAGTAATTGGTATTTATAGATATCTTTTTAGAGAGACATTAAAATGGTTTCTTAAAAAAAATAGTTATAAATATATAATTATTACAATTATTAGCTATTTTTATAATTAAATAATGATTCCAAGCTTAACACTAATTATAATTTATAAGTAATTTAAATTTTGATGAGATTCAATAGTTTTATAAAACAGTATAACTAGTACAACATATTTTATACTATTACTGATTATAATTTACAATAGTCTGTACTAAACAGTATAGACTATACTGTTTAGTATACTATAGTCTATAGAGTCTATACTGTAAATTAAATGCCAATGTGTTTCAATAATTTGACATATTTTTGCTATTTCCACAATTGACCAAAAAATTGACGTCAAATTTCATTTTAGTTTTTGATTATTTAAGACATTTATTACAATCTATTGTAGTGTAGCCTCCGGTAAATTGTGTAAAAATTGAATGTTAAAAATTATACCAATGATTACAAACATAAATTTTTATAATATTGTATGACCACAAATGCTTTAGTCTTTTTTCTATTATTTACTTTATATGCCCCAACTTTATAGTATTTTTAATGAAAAATTTAATTAATTTTTTTCTAAGCAATTTATGACATAAACCAATAATTTTTAAGATCGCATTTTCTTCACATCTATAAAAATAAAACACAAAATTAACTCAAAAACCTATTTTATTTATAATAAAAATTATCATATTTAAGTATTGATTTTGATAATATTAAAAAATATATATATTATTTTATGATATAATATATAGTCACGCAAATTATTTGTTCAATTTATTATTAATTTATTAAATTACTGTATGTATAAAAGTTATTATATTTGTAAATATTTCATAATTAACATTTTATAAAATATTTTTAATATGCAAAATATTGTGTTAAATGCTACAATATTTGATTACATTAATGAACTCAATAATGTATACTATTATAGTACAGTAAAGCCAATAAAATATGACTTCAATATATAATTTTATAAATATTCAGTCAATAAATAAGACAAAATAAAACAATATAACTGATAAATTAATTTATTATTAATTATTAAATCAAATTTTATAATATTTACAATTATGAAAATTATAATAATTATGATATATTAAAAACAACAACAATCATGTTATTACAGATTTTTGGTTAAAATACTAAATATATAGCTAGAAAAAATTGTAATAATAAAATAAAATTTTTTATTTTTGTAATAATTAATTTTTTATAATTAATTTTTTAAAAAATAGTGTACAAATTTTATTCAATAAATAAATAAATTGAGATAATAATAATAATAATAATTAATTGTTTTGTCCAAATATATTAATCAAACGACTGAATTAGTTGTATCAATAAGTTTGTGATCATTGAACTCCTGTTTCTCGATTTGTGTCCTATGTTTGACATCTTTGATGACTAAAGTCTTTCTCACTGACGAACACTTGGAACTCTTGGGTGAGCTCTTGGATGTCATCGAAAATCGTTGAGTTCTTTAGAAATAAATTAATTAAATACAAAAAGTATGTAAACATTAAATTTGAAACAAATTTTTATGGATTTTTTTTTGAAGTAAATATTTGAAGATATCGTCTTAATTCTAATTAATTTTCTAATTAAAATTCATTCAAAATAATTAATTTTTAAGACAATATTTTCTTAACTCTTAACTCTACAATGTATTCAAATTATTTGGTTTATCTTTTATAATTATTTCGACAAATTGTTTACCATTAATGGTCTACACATTACGTATAGTATAAGTTAGTTGTAATTTACAAATTGCAATTAATTCAAACGTGTATACATTGTTTTAATTGTTAACACGTTGTTATTTGGTAAATGTTGCATGGTACATTTCATTGGAAATGTAGTTATCTTTAATTATTTAGTCTCTTAAATGGCATATAATTTTGGTATAAAAGTCAATTGTTAGCTCACATCCCTTGACAACTGTGCCCAATACATGCATATTAACGAAAAACGATCGGAAAATTGTCCAAATATACGGTTATATAATTTAAGTAATAAAATATAAAAGGTTTCAACATTGTATGTAAACTTTTGTTAATGTTTGATTTGCATTCAAAATAAATATTTTCAAGTTTTATAGATATAATTTAATTGTGTGTTTAAACATTTTGTTTATTTTTAAAACTAAAACGGAGCTCATGTTTAAAAACATTTATTTTTATGATAGAGTTAACTAATTTATAAAATAAGGTTAAGTTCAGTGGTATATAGACAGTGATCAACAAATTTTGGTAGATATTTAGTTATAAAGTATTATAAAAATTCAATTACTTATATTTTTAGTGATAAATAATATTAATCTGATATTTTGATATTTTTATTAATAATAAAAAAAATAATTATTAACAAAAGTTTTAGTCACAAACACATATTTTTAAATAATTGAAGTAAAATTTAAACATTAAAACATTTATATATGTTTTTATGCTATTAATTACAATACACATTTAAATTAATTAATAATTTAATTAAAAAATCATTTAAATCTTTAAAAATTTAATATACAGTAGAAAAATATTGATAAAATTGGCCAAAAATGAAAACTTATAGATGAATAATATTACAGTTTTTTATGATAAATGAATTTAAATCTGATCTTAAATACTAATTTATTGTCAAATATAACAAATTACAACAAAAATAGTTATAATTGTTATCACATATTTTCATATTTTTAAGCAAATGTTTTGTTTAATAAAAACTAATTATAGTCACATATTTCTAAAGTTAATAGTTATAACTATTATTATTATTATTATTATTATTATTATTATTATTATTATTATTATTATTATTATTATTATTATTATTATTATTATTATTATTATTATTATTATTATTATTACTATAATTATTATTTGTATTCTAGAATAAATAATTATATAATTAAATACATATAAATTGATAATTTTAATATTGGGATTTTTAAAAATTCTAAATATGATTAATTTGTTGCAACAATTGTGTAGTTTTATTTAGTATACTATTTATTGATTACTGCCGTAAAATATTTTTCTTGAAAGTTTGTTTTCAAAATCAATTTACAAATGTATTCTTAAGTGAATTTATATTGTTTTTTAAGTCAACACTGAAAAACGCTAATCTTATTATTAGTTGTTAAAAACTATAGTTTTTACAATTGAAACAAACTGTAGATAAAAAAGACTAACTAAACGTTATTTAATCCTAATATAGGATTATAATTTTAGATCATAATAACACTATTTGTTATTATATTATATATATTTATAAGTTATAATTTATAACTTATAAATTATGACAAATAAAAGTATATTAAATATAAGTAGTGATATTTTTTGATTAGATATAAAAACCGAAAACCATTAATAAATATTATGGGTCGCAATAAAAATTATTTTCTTCAAAAAAAAAGGTTTATACTATACTAAAGTTTATATAAGTGTTATTACTATTACTTACTAACTTTAGTTTAATATAATTATATAAACCGTATTTAAGCTAAAGATATCAAAAAATATAAATATAGCCATAAAATGACATCATATTTGCAGACATTCAGACAATTATATTGGTTTTCAAATTATACTTAAGTTATATTAATATATAGACTATTTTAAGATATATTTATCGAATGAAATAATATTTATATTTTATAGAATTATGAATATATAACATATAAATTTATATATATATATATATATAATTACATGTTTGTATAATTTAATGTTATTTACTAAACTAAAAACTAAATATTTCTAATTGTATTCAATAATAGTTTTAAAAATGAATTTAAAAATTAGTTATTTAAATTTTTATATATTTATAATTAGGTTTATATATAAAAATAATTTAAATTATGAGTATTTCACTTTATTCAAGTATATATATATTTTTTTGTGTAAATATTGATATTTATTTTAGTAAAAACTTTTTAGTTTAATAATTAAAATATAAGTAAAAAACTTTGAAGCGAAATAATATGTATTTTTAATAAATGTAAATATATAACGATGTAATGTATACCTGGATGACGAATGAGTGGCTGAGTTAATGGTATTATAATCACATCTTATCGTAAGATTTTGAGGATTTTGTGGTCTTTTTATACAACAACAAAGTCTTCCGAAAGCACGCGAAAGACTAAATCTTCTGAAATAAACAAAAAAACAAAACAAAAAAGTTTTAATAATTAATGACAACCACTGAATAATTAATAAGCAAATGCATCGATAATTTAACTAATAAACTAAAAACAAAAAATAGTCTTAAAAAACATCTATAAATATCTTCTAACCTAATATTTCGACAGAAATGAGTGGAAAATAAGAAATATATGAAAGGATTGGCCGCAGAGTTGAGTGGAGCCAGACTTTGGATGAAAGTCGAGATTGCGATCGTCGTCTGTGACACAGGTATTACACCCCAAACCTGTAGTAAATCCCATACGAAGTACGGACTCCAACATAATATAAAAACTATTTTTTCAATGTTTAATATTTAGAGTATTAGAGATTTATAATTAATAAAAATCTTATAAAATTAAATCTTAAAAGTAATCTCAAATCAATAATATGTTAACTATAGATAACTGACCGAAAACTATAACGAAAGTCATTTTTACGGTTTTTATTTTGGCTTTCGGTATAATGCCTCGACTACTGGCCCGCTTAAAATCATCGGGATCACCACCAGTAGCTTAACATATAAAAACAATAATTAAAATTACAATATATAACTAATAAATTAAATTGTTTTTTAATATATTGTAATGAAAATTACATGAACTTCTTTTGTTGTTTACATCAGTGGATGACTTAGTTTTGGATTTGGATTTGTTGGCCACCTTCGGGAAAGTCATAGTCTTGCTTTTGGCCCAAATTGTGTGAACAATAATTGAATAGCAGAGAGATATGATGACCGCCGGAAAGAAAAACAGCGAAGTGGCCACTAATGTGATGTAGATTTTCCATTGCCATTGCTTGAGGTCTATCCAACACTGAGGGTGTCCCTCCATCATAGTTTCACTGTTCAAAAATATAGCCGGAATTGAAAACACGGCACTCAAAGTCCAGGAACTGGCCACCAAAATCTTTGCCCTTTTCCCTAAAAATTTTTTTATTCAAATATAAATAAAATCAATACTTATGTACAATGTTTGTGTGCTATGAAACAGATAACAACATAGCATCCATTAGTTAGCTATTGATAGCATTGATCCATTTAAATGCAAAAAATTGAATTTTATATTCACACAAAAAATTTAATAATAAAGAAAATATATATAATAGAAAAGTATATACACAAAAACGTTAGGTATAGTTAAAAATATAAATATTCAATAAAAACAGATTTTGCATTTATCAAGTGTTTAGTGTTCAAATGAAAAAGTTTTTCAAAATATTAATAGCAAATCATATATAGATTTATATATATATATATTTATATATATTTAATTTAAAATGCTTAAAAATCCTTTTGGCTAAAAGTAAAAGCATTTTTAAATTTTTTTTTAAATTTTAAAATCTATTTCAAATTGGATCTTATTGAAAGTACTTAAATACGATTTCAATAAATTTTTAATTAAACTCTAAACCAAAATCATTATTAAAGTCATAGAAAATGAATAGAAATTGATTTATTATATCTCTATTTGAATAATAAATTAAAATTTTAGAAATAATATTACAAATTATAGACACTCTTGTCTTTAAAGTCATTTCGAAAGTCTGTATAAAGAGTAAAATTATATTTTTATAAATATTTTGTTGTATTAAATAATGATTTTTTTCTATTATTTTAAAATTATTATGATTTCATCGAAGACATTGAAAATCAAGTTTTAACACAAATGTAAAATAGACATCAAAGTGTTGTCAAATGTTTTCTCTCTATTGTATAATTTTAACGTAAATTTACATAATTTTATCGAATATATCAATACAATAGTTTTGTTTTACATGTCTGTCAAAACATTTTTAAAAATATATCAGAATATTCTTTATTCTTATATCTCAATATGATTTTCCTTATCCTATATAAAGCTATGTTCAGTCAATTTAGACAAAGCTCTGTATGGATCAGCTCCTGTGACAGCTCTTTACAATCGACTTTTAAAAAGCTTTTTAAAGACAAAGAGAATATTTGTTGACATAATATTGACATCAAATTTCTAATTTATAAAAATAGTAATCAATTATTTTAATTGCTCATTAAATATTAAGTATACGCTATATTGCTGCTACATATTAGGGACAATACAGAATAACAACTAATTTATATAATACAGTATATATTTATTAATAAAATTTATTTTTATATACAGTATAAGCTTATATCTGACAATAGTATTGCAATTCTGCAATAAACGAAAACTTTTACTGAAATATTTTTACTAATATTATTAATTAATTTTTTCCTATTTATTATATTACTTTTTTAAACCATGTTATATTTATTAACAAATATTTATTTTGTTTAAAACTATCTATAATATCTGCTAATTTTTTTTTTATATTTATTAATAAAATAAGAAATGTGTTAAAAATTTACATTAAAAATATTTTATGGCTCGTGTATAAACATATAATTTTATTGATTAAATATTTTATAAAATAAAAATAAGCTATGTAAATATATTATCAAAAATAGTAAAAATAACATTGACTGCTATTCGTGGACATAAATATTAATATTTTTCAATACTATGTCATAATATTTAAATTATTTAAATTTAGTCAAAGATTATGTATTAATGCACAACATAAGCAAAGCGCCTCAATATTATTAATAATATTAAATATGTAAAATTAGACAAAAATATAAATAAATAACAATTGAATAAAACAATAATATTATGTATTTACAGCTTCCGGTGAAATTTAAGGGATGTGTTATAGCATCGTATCGATCAATACTAAGTGACACCAATACATATGTTGATGAATACGTTACCAAAACCTAAATAAAGTGGTCAATTGAATCATTACTATTAATATAATAGTGGAAAAGCATTATTTATACTTAAAATTAGTTAAATAAAAAATTAACATAAAATTACAAATATTTATATTTGTATAAAGTTTAGTTTGTTATTACAATATTAATACAAATTAATTAATATAAGACTAAACTTAAATAAATAGGACACCCGGATGAATATAGCAGAGATGTTTGCTTTATTTTATCCATTATTTCAAATGAATGGATATGTAAATGGGTTTATATAATAATAACCCCAATAATAACCACTAATTTTGAAATGAAAATTGAGATTTCATATTAAATAAATTACATCTAATATTACAGAATTACTCTACAGAATAGTATAAAATATTCTGTGAATTTTTTTTCGCAACTCTAATAAATAATTATCATTAATATATTGCATGTAAAATGATATCCTAAAAAAGTCAAAGACCTCTCAAATAGATTTTAATAGTTTTTTGTTTATTTTACTAAAATATTATTCAAAACTATATTATAATCTCTAAAAAATATTAATTTACAAATAATTTGAATGAATTAATTGATTAGAATATATTAAATAAGAAAAAAGTAATTTAGATTATCTTATTAGTATTCGTAAAATTTCTTATTGTATATTATTTAATATATATATACATATATATATACTGTATATATATTTTATATATCATAAATATTTGACTAACAATAAGTTATAATCTATATGAAGAAGTTATGAGTAGGAGTCACACAAATATAAAACATACATAAATTACAGACATGTGTTCATCTAAACCATCGAATTCTATGGTCAATGATTTAAATAACAAATACATAGAAAATATAATCATTTGATAGAAAAATTATGGATAAAAATTAAAAGAAGTTTTCATTTTAAAAAACTTCACAGAATTCCCATATTATTATTATTTTCTAGATTTCATTTACTTTAACTTTTTATTATTAATTGTGTTAAAAGTTACTGCTTTTGTAAAATTATCGTAAAACATAATGTCTATAAATATTTTAATAGTATTTACTAACTTATATTTAATATTTATCAGATAATTATTTAACTTTATAAACATTTTATTTAAAATCATCATCATTTTTAAATAAAATAATTTATAGTATTACTAATTATTTAAATCCAATAGTAAATAATTAACATATTTTATAAAATTTATAAATGAAAAAATTATAATTCTACTATATGTTGATTTGCTAGATATTTATTAATTATTTTCTCAATTTATTTTTAACTATTAATACTTTTAATAAAATTGATGTCTTTTATAAAATGTATGTTATTTAACCAAATTTTTAGTTGAAATTTAATTAATTTATAATTTATAAAATTTAATTAACCATCAATTGTGCGATCAACTAAAAAGACCTATTTTTAATACAAAACTAAAAGGAAAAAATATTCACAAATATTGCATAAAAATTGCATTAATAATAGATAAACTACAAGTATATTCTCTTTTCAAAAATATTATTTTAATAATATTGTGATATAATGTATAATAATGTCATTAAAAAGAGATTGTTTTATACGAAAAAGTTTTTCAAGCAAAACAAATATCATTAAAATATAATAAAATTTTGATAAAAATAAAAAAATTGGTAAATATACAATTTCTATCTATTTATTTGTTTGATTATTTTTTATTAACTTTAAATAAAATTCTCTTTAAAATACTTTTCAACTAAAATGTAAAGTTAATATATAGTAAAAATGTTTAAAAACAATTGAATAAAATCCATTAACTTTTTTTATTCTATACAAAATAATATACAAATGCATAATAATAGCATAGAAATTTAAAATACAAATTGTACTAAAATTAAATATTTAGACAAAAAAATTAATTCAAAACTTTATTTTGTAAAGTAATATATTATCTAGCTAATTAATTATTATATTAAATAAAACTAATTTAATGACTATAATAATAATAATAAACAATCAAATTAACAATTTTATTTCTATATTTTAGTTTATATATCACGTCTTTATAACTTTCTTTATAATGAAATATATATATTATGGTTAAGCAAGGTTTAGGATTATATGGGGATATAAGGGGTCAAATGACAAAAATCTTAATAAATATTAGGATTATAGGGTGGTGTAGACTTTTATTGCATTTTAAAAGGCAAATTTTTCAACAAAAAAATCAAGGGGTCAAAAAAATTCCATAAAAATTCCTTAAATTCCCATAAAAATAGGTAATATTAACAATAAGTTCTCTTATTTCTCAAAATATATTTTTAAAATTAATAAAAGCTTAGATTTTTTAAAACTAGATTAAAAAAAATTAAATAATTCTGCATTTAAAATTTAAACATAATTAATAAAAACAATATATAAACTGACTTAATATCAGTATTTTAATTATTTTTAAATAGTAATAATATTATACTTGTAACATAATTAATTTTCAAAAAATAATAATTAATGTTTAAGTTCTTATTTAAATATTTTTAGTTAAAAAATTATATGTTTATATAAATATTGACAGAAAATTAAATATTTTACTTAATTTTACATTATTACAATAATTACATTATACGGTATTTTGTTTTACTAACTTTAATTATCTTAAAATAATATATTTGGGGTATTTTGGTTAACCCTCTACCCTTTTGCTTTTAAAGTTAAGTATACAATAATTTTATGAATTTACATTTTAAGAACAAATATATTGTATTTGTATATATAATGATATATTTAAAATATTTTATTTAAACAAAATTTAGTCGAATCAACAATAAATTCATGTTTAATAATAAATGGATATATATGTGCCTATAGGTAATATTGATACTTAATCTAAAATACATTATATCAATTCAAGCGATTTTCAATATTTATTTAAAAACATTTTAATATATGATTATAACTTTTTATATAGAATATATGCTATAATGTACCAGTATACTTTACTGAATATTTTTTGTATGTCTTACAAAAATAATATATTTTTTATAAATTATTTTAAAATGTTTTCCATTATTGTCTTAAATATTTTAATAAGTGTGTTATTCACTAAAATTATATTATTTGTAATATTATCATAACATTTATATTTAATATAAGATTTTTATTTAGACATAAATATTTATCACACAAATTTAATAATAAATTATTTATATATTTTTCTTGATTTGCAGTTCAAATTCAAATGATTTTTCAATTAATAACAAATGAAAATAATAGTCAAACAAAATAAACTCATGTTTTGTTTCCCTAACTACTATATAATCTAAAAATATTTTATTTATAAGAAAATGTATAGAATTGATGCTTACTATAAAGTATTTGTTTAATAGTTAGAGTCAATACTACATTCGCAGTGATTTTTTATCTTTTAGTTAAAAACATTTTACTAAAAACGTTAAGTTTAACAAAATTGGTTATACAGTACACCTATAGTACAGTATATCAAATAAATATAAAATTATACTTTTAGTTAGCTAAAGTAATTTTAAATTATAAAATCTAATAGCTAAAATTAAAAAAATAATAAAAAAAAGTATTTTTAAAAAAACAAAATATTGTCTACTTTAAAATATAAAATACTATTTCACCTTACTCAAATAATTACTGTCAATAAGTTATAATTAGACTTTTACTTCATTTTTAATTTTTGAGTAACATTAAATTTGGAGACAATGAAACAGATAATAAACTATAAATATTACTACATTTCAAGTTATTTAAAATGCTTTTAATACAAATTTACAAAAATATTATGAACTTTACAATTGTTTAACTATTATTATTAATAGAATATTTGTTATAAAAATCCATTAATATAATACAACATTGAATTTGTTATTAATCACTCGCACCATAAGCTTGATTAAAGGCATAGAAATAATGTTAACGCAAACATAGCAAACATTAGGGACAGTAAAAAATAAGATGAAATGATTGATACAATGAAATAGAGGAAAGATGTGCGACAAAAACAATTTTAAGCAAATGTTGTATTATATATATATCAATAAATATAGGGAATCTATTACTCATAGATATTTGATATAACAATACGTCAGATATACTGTATATGAGTGCCAAAGCATTCAATAAATGCATTTTCAGGACTTTTTATTTATATGTATTTCAATTGAGATAACAAATGCCTTTAAGTAAACTTATCTATAGTCCATCCATTCAAATGCTATATACTATAAACATTATATATCTATCTAACAGATTAATCACAGTTTTAGACCTATTATTTCCAGATTTTTTAACTGTCAAACAATTTGCAAAAAAAAAGTTTAACTTAAACTAAAAAGCATTGTATAGTATTGTACTGTATTAGTAATTGTTGTTAGAGTACTGTAGTATTAAAGAATTCAATATAAATGCTAAAACATGTCTAAAAACTGTCATTAATATAGAATTTATATATAAGAGGTTTTTGAAAATCATTATTTTTTAAAACAAATATTGACTTCAATCATAATAATTCAAAAACCACTTTTTTGATTGATTTATAAGTATTAAATAATTAATCACAATTATGTGTAACTAAATTATGTATAATTAAAAGTTTTAAAAAAAACTTGTTAAATGTTAATATTAATAGTTATTTAAATAAATAATTACTTCAATATACTGTAAAAGAGTTTATTTAAAAAATTATTGTTTAATCTTATAAAAATGTTTAACACTATTTATCAAATCAAAATAATATTTATAAAAATACATCATTTATAATAAAACATTATAAATGACTTTCATATGTTTTTATCTTTATAGCTTTCATCTTCTAAATAATGATTTTACTGTATTATAGTAAAACAAATATTGTTGTTTTTGAAAACTAATTTTAAAGAAAAATTTATAGTTTTTTATTGAAGTCATACAATAATATAGTATTTATGATTTTTTAAAAATTTGCCAAAAATAAGATATACAATAGTAATTGAGCTAATTATATACTAAAATCTTTAAATACAATAGAAATGTGATACAAAATCTGTATCTAAAATAACAAAATCAATACAAACCTGTGAATAGCGGACTGCTTTGCAAACGAGATTTCCGGCATAAAAGCCAACCGTTGTTTTCCAGGCTATATCTGTGGCCACACTAACCAAACCCACTGTCAAGTCTGTCAATATTAATAATGACAATAATAATAGTGATTAATATATGATAATTAATAATAATAATAATAATAACAGTAATAACAATACAATACAATACCGGCGATCGCTAAATGCATTATAAAGAAATTCATTCGTGTCTTCCGATTCTTTGATCGCATAAGTGTTATCAATACTGAAGAATTGCCAAATAATATCAATGCCAACAAAACCCATAAAAATATCAGTGTTTCAGTCTATAAGAAAATTAATTAAACATTTTATATACCGTATATAACATTAATCAATATTACAAAAAATAATAATAATTAAATTATATAACACCATTGTTATTATGTTTTAAAAAGTATGTCATTATTGTTGATAAAAAATTAATTTTTATAAGCATAACTCAATTATTGATATACATAAACATTTTAATTATTATATATTGAGTAATAAATAACAATTAACTATTATATTGATAATAACTATTTACTATACTGTACAGTAGTATAGCCACAAAAATATATAAATTATAGTATTTATTATATATAAATAAAAGTTAATAAAAGTAATTTAAAAGTTTTTTACTGCTTGAATTTTTACTAAATGTAAAATAAACAAATTTTTATGTGTTGTGCGCCAATTACAACTAAATTTGAGTCAATTTATCATAATTATTATGACCATTATGATTATTTATTCAATTATATTAGATTACTATTGTTTATCTAATATTAAAATAATAATATGACTATAAATTTATGCTACACAATAGTGTATTGTATTGCATAAAATAAATATTATAATACTGTATAAACTTTATATTATTTAGTTTTTATAATTTATTTAGTATTTTATAATTTATTTAGTATTTTATTATTTATTTAGTATTTTATAGTATTTATAATAATTATAGAAACACTTTTAAATTTGTGTTACCGTATTTATTTGCATATTATCCCATAAGAAAATGCTAAAAATAAAAATACATTTTCATATAGTAAAAACTCACATTTTTTCAACCAATGATAAAATAAACGAGAGTATGGGATAAAGCTAAAATGGGAGACTGGAAAACTGTAATTACTGATATTTAAAAGTGATTTATTAAAAACTATATTCTTAGATAACTATTACCAGTAATTAATTAGTATTTTATTAATTAATTAATTAATCAGTAGTTAAAACAGTGTTTATCAATGAATTATATATTTGTAAGCAGTAAAACACGTTTAAAATATTTTTTATATAACCGATAGTTATGTAAATAATAAAAAATAGTATATTAATATACCGTTAATAATATAAATCTGTCAATAGATATTAATAGTATTTATAGGAATTATTAGAGACTTCCAAATACAAGTATTTTGCAATAATATCAATAACAAAAGGCAGATGATTTGCTAACAACTATTTTGTTTTTATTATTTTTAAAAATATTGAAGAATTTTGATTTTCTAAAATTTATCAGTTTTTAAGTTTCACTATATATTTCTCTTTAATAGAAAAAGTACGAAAATATTAAATTACAATCAAATTAGCATAAATAATATTAAAATCGGTTTTATACAATTTTATTTTTAAAATATTGCTAAATAATTAACACTAAAAATGTGAGTTTTAAAGGAAATGCTATATTATGTAATAATATTATAAATAATATTTATATTTATATCATAAGATACAGTATTAATAGATTACTACTAAATTGTAAATAAATTCGTTTCAATAAATGACTGATATAACTGAAAAGTAATTTATTGGAAATTCTATACAAAATAAGATCTATTTAAAGATTAATTTAATAGAAAATTTGAAAACTTTATTTTTGTATACTATGAGATATTTATACAAAACGACAAAATTTAATTATAAATCATATAAAACATATTTGACGAGAAAATAAAATAAATATTTTATTTAAGAAATGTAAAGTACATACTGATACACATTTATATACAATTATATATATATTCTATATTTCTATAGTATATATACGTACAGAATATATAATATATTGGTTAAAATATAAATGCATTTTCAAATTCTTTTAGATTTATGTGTTTCACTACAATATTGCTTAAATAACAGTTACTCTCACCTTATTTTAAGTTATATTATAAATAACGTGTGATTCTTATGACAAAAAATGCAATGTATTTATGGCTTCCCATAGAAAATAAATAATAGGTTTATAGGCCTTTAACTTCAAGCAAATGTATTTCTTTTTGTTATTGACATAACTTTCCTAAAAATTCATTATTTTTTAGCACAACACACGCACACACATATATATATACACTGTATAAAGTAGAGGTTTAAAACAGGATCATAGTATTGTACAGAAACAGGACAGGAAAAATAGCTGACAGGTCAGGATGGGATGAGATGATGAGGTCAACACCAGATTTTTCAGCTAAATTTACATCTAATACATAGACATATCAATACATTGATTTCGTGTTTATAATCAAACCTATATTCAAAAATTTGATCTTTTACAAAATTTTGTAATTATATTTTTTATTGAAATCTGTATACAATTTATATAATATAAATTGACAATAATATGATGACAAATTCAATATATATATATAATTTATATATATTGGTTGACATTAACTTAGTTTATAAGTTCATATCTTTGCATAAATTTTCCTTTCACTAAAAAAATCAAACATTTTTGGTTTATTCATAACTCTATACAAAATATATCAATACTATTCAATAGATATTGAAAGTGATTGATCTGATTAATTGAATACATGAAACAAAATACTGTTTTTATACTTAGAAACTCAATAAGGATAGCTATTTCTATTGACTATTATCTATATAATACTATAATAGGATATAATAATAAAAATAATAATAAATAGTAGTTTTACTGAGAAAGTCATTATCATTGCCTCTCGTCTCCAGTCAATCGCATAAATAGTGAAAATCATAACACAATTCCTTTAACAATACATGAGTTTAATTTTGATGTCAATTAATAACAGCATTAATGTGATGGTGTGATGGACTCAGAAAAATCAAAAATAAAATCTCATTTGTTTTCACAAACTCCTCAAAGAAGTATTTATTTGAATTCTATATTTCTGTCTGTTTTTTGAATTTTTTGAATTTTGATATTTTGACTTCAGATTTGTATAAAGCATCAAAAATAAGATATAAGAGATCGATATCAAAATTATCTCATCGCAAACATAGAGAAAATGGAGGCCAAAGTTTAAAAAAACATATTTTTAAATTTAATTTTGGATAAAAAAAAATTTAATGTAGTATAGAATAATGTTAAAAAAGTTTTTTACTATATCTTAAAAACAAAATGGCGGTCAAAATAAAATATTAAAATTTTTAAATATTTATTTCATTTGGATATAATTATCAAAATGTTTAAAATTAAAATTGGCAATTATTATTTATATTAAATTATAATACCAACATAATTATATTTGGGTTTTTTATATTGTATAATAAACTTAGATTGATATTACTTTTTTGTTATACTAAATCATAGTTGAATTTATTATTTTATACTGATTTGTCATTCATATGATTTCTTACATAACTGGAGTTGAATTTATTTTTTCATATTTAGTGATTTGATACCATTCATGACCGCATGTTTTGTTACATTATTAATGATATTAAAAAATTAATTAAAATATTTACATAATTTAATAAATCAATTTAAATGGAGTTCGTCTGAAAATGCTTTGTAACATTATCAACTGTTTATTTTTTATTTCATATAAAACTGATATCAATTATTTAGAGCATATAATCCTATTGTGTTTCCGCATATAATTAATATTTTATTTTTATCGAAAAATAATATATGCAAAACATTTATTAGATAATTATAGTTTTTTAACAATAGTAAGACTCTATTTGATAATTATTAGATTATATAAATTGAAAATCTCACTATTTTATTATATTATTACAAATTCTATAAATTTATTTTTTATATATACAGTACAAACATATATATAAATATATATATATATATATATATATGTTTGTACTGTATATATAAAATATATATATATATATATTTAAATATAAATATAAGTATAAATATATATATATATATAATATTAACTCTATATAGGTTTTCTCATATGAAACGACGTATTTTGGCGACTTTTTATTTAAATAGTGATTATGGATACATAATTAACATTTTAATTTTATTTTTTAATTAAGTAGGAATGTAATTTTTGTAAATTTATTTATAAATACAAAATGTTTGAATTTTAAAATGATTTTAATTTACTTGAAAAGTAGAGACATTATACCAACATAGTGTATGTGATAATAAATTAGATTGAATTTGAAACTACTCTAATTAATATTAATATTTAAACAATTGATGATTTATAATGAAAACTATTAATTTGTATATAAAATACGTCGTTTCATATGAGAAGACCTATATATATATATATATCTAAACTCCATATTATTATTAAATTTTTCTTTACTTTCTCGCAAAATCTACGGTTAAAATCAATATAAAGTTTTATGTGATGTAATGACCATAAAATTGGATGAGTAGTGTATCGTTGAAACACTAATGAATAAGGGATTGAAATGTTAAAGAAGTGGTCCTTTCGTTTCATTGAGTAGTGAAGTGCCAGACAATGATGTGCTCCTCAAGAGATCGATGACAAACAATCAATGAAAGCAAACCATTGATTGTCAATCCATAATATAAACTCAAACTGTATTATCGCTTTCAAATAAATTACAAAATAGTTTTAAATTTTATTTTAACTTTTCCCGTAACTCATAATATAAATGTAATTATTATTTTATTTTTATAGTAATGTGATTTATTGTACAATCGATATAACAATATTTTTAAAAATAATTATTGTAACGCATAAATTAATTTTATTTTTTAATACATAAATATATAGCAAATATATATATATATTGTTTTTGAGTGATAAATGAATTAACAATTTATTTGTAGACAACAAGCCTTTAGTCGACTCCCAAGATATCACTTATTCATTAATACAGACATAAAACAAAATTCAATTCATTAATGTCTTTCTTTTTCTTAACATCTCTTACTTACACTATGTTTAACGTCATATAAATTTACATATTTTTGTCAAAAATTTTTATTTATTATTACTAAAATAGCATTTATTTGCTTATTATACTGTAATTGACAATAAGTAATAATTACCAAATTATTTTTAATATATCTGAAAATAAATAA